AAACTTAACAAAGATATACTTGGTGCCTACCATATGCCAGGTAATAGTGCTGACCCCAGGAACAGAATGGCTAATAAAACAGGGACCATTACTCCTCTCTAGCCTCTATTCACCCCACCACTCCACCCAGAAAAGAGCAAACAAATAATCACATGAATACACTTCTAATATAAATTACTGTTATCAGTAATAATTAAAGCTAAGGAGTTTAGACTCAAGAAAGGAAGAGAATGGGAAGGACTGAGCATGCAGGGGTTGATTATTCAGGCCTTGGTAAATTCACGAATGTCGTATTAAAGTTCTGGATTTTAATATATGCAAGGAGAAAGTTTTATGTTTTTAATTACAGGTATTTCTGCTACAGAGTGATAGGCGAGTTTTTTAAAAGCTTTGCATTCTGCAAAATTCATATGAAAATAACAGGGCTCATAGAATAAAAAGAAATGTGCAGATCCGCCAAACCTACGCAATCACCATTAGGAATCACTATCCTAATGAAAATACCAGCAAAAATAAACTATTGCTAAATAAATATCTAGTAAATATAAAATTCGACACTTATAAAAAGAAGGTAATTTGATAACATGGATACAAATAAAGTTCAGCCTACTCTGAGAGAAAAATGCACAAAAATCTGGAAGAAACACAGCACAGTATGATTGAATTTGTGACCATCAAGAGCCAAAGTAAGAACAGAATGTGGGCCTGAGGGAAATGGGCATCATATTCTACATTGCATGCCTCTGTGGCTCCAGTTAACTTCAACTTTATTACCATATTTTGCATTTAGCTGCTGCTGTTTCCTGGTGCAAACTGTTGATGCATTGGTGAATTGGCTTATGAAAAAACCAACTTAGTTTTTACCCCTTATCCTGCATCATTTTCCATATTTCAGTAACCGGTGATGAACTGCACTCCAAAAATATTTACTAGAAACTTAAAAAAATAAACAATTCATAAGCTTTAAGCAGTGCACCATTCAGAGTAGCATGATGACATTTTGCAGCATACACTTCTGTCCCACCTGGGATGCGTATCATCTTTTCTTGCAGCGGATTCATGCGGTAGACACTCCCTAGCCACTAGTCACTTAGCCTTCTTGGTTAGCAGATTGGCTGTCACAGTATTGAGTGCTTATGTTCAAGAAAGCCTTATCTTACTTCATTGTGGCTCCAAAGTGCAAGAATAGTGATGCTGGCAATTTGGATATGCCAAAGAGAAGCCATAAAGTGTGTCCTTTATGTGAAAAGGTGAAAGTTCTCTACTTAATAAGGAAAGAAAATAAATCATATGCTGAGGTTGCTAGGGTAAGAATAAATCTCTCCCTGAAATTGTGAAGAATGAAAAAGATTAGATCAACCATTGTGGAAGACAGTGTGGTGATTCCTCAAGGACCTAGACATAGAAATTCCATTTGACCCAGCAACCCCATTACTGGGTATATATCCAAAGGATTATAAATCTTTCTACTATAAGAACACACGCACACGAATGTCCATTGCAGCACTATTTACAATAGTAAAGACCTGGAACCAACCCAAATGCCCATCGATAATAGACTGGACAGGGAGAATGTGGCACATATACACCATGGAATACTACGCAGCCATAAAAAACGATGAGTTCATGTCCTTTGTAGGGACATGGATGAACCTGGAAACCATCATTCTCAGCAAACTGACACAAGAACAGAAAATCAAACACCACATGTTCTCACTCATGGGTGGGTGTTGAACAATGAGAAAACATGGACACAGGGAGGGGAGCATCACATGCTGGGGTCTGTAGGGGAGAAATAGGGGAGGGACAATGGGGGTGGGGCGTTGGGGAGAGATAGCATGGGGAGAAATGTGAGATATAGGTGATGGGGAGGAAGGCAGCAAATCACACTGCCATGTGTGTACCTATGCAAAAATCTTGCATGTTCTTCACATGTACCCCAAAACCTAAAATGCAATTAAAAAAAAGAAAAAGAAAAAGAAATCCCTTCTAGTTTTGCTGTGCCATCTCCCAAACTGCAAAGTTATAACCCCAGTACATGATATGTGCTTCGTTAAGATGGAAAAAGTATAAAATTTGTGGGTGGAGGACATAAACAGAAATGTGTTCTGATTGATGGATAACAGCTTCAGTACTGTCCTTAATTTCAGGTATCTCCTGGGGGTTTTAGAACAAACCCTTCACAAATAAGTGGGGACTACTGCACTTTGCATGCTAAATTCACATTTCTCTCTACTTCCCAATCACTTTTTCACTAATTCCCCTACACTATAGACACATATCCCAGCACAACCAACAGATGGAGAATGATGTGGATGAATGAAAATTTCTAAAAGATTACTCTAGCAGGGGGGCCACAACTCAGATTTTAGACACCTTTGACTTCTAAGGGAGAAGGAGAATTTGAACCAGACTGAGGGCAATGATGATTAATGTCGTCACATGTCCAACCTCAAAATTCTCTGATATACAATAAAAAGACACTTGTTTTGAGAGATAACCTTAGTGGTCAGAGTCCTCTAAAATCTGAGTGTCAATACCTCACATCCTGAAAATAGTGAAAGAAACTTTAATAGAACAGGAAGGCAGAAAAGCAACCTAATGTCATATTCTAATAGATCTGGAAAGTCAGAGTTTCTGTCACCCATTTTTCTTTTATGTTTATCTCCCAATCTGAGCTGATATTCTTGGAATAGGATTGATATGAGTATGGGATGAAGCATGGAAGAAACAAACAAAAAAAAATCAAGAAATTAAAACACCTTGGAGGTTAATACCTGCTATTTAAACTTAAAAACAAATGAGAAAGCAATACCTTATCATGCTTACACGTTATTGAAATAGATGCAAAATGTTCTCTGACTTTCTAATGTATTTTTACCCCAACCTGATGCAGTTCATGTTAGATATTTGACTTTGAAAGTTAAGAATAAATTGCTTAAATGGAAATCACAGTTTGTGATTTAAACTGTATTGTCTAAGTCAGTGCTGTCCAATAGAAAATAACACAAAATGTAAATGTGAGTTGCAAATCAAATTTTAATTTTCTAGTAAGCAAATAAAAATTTAGAAGGAAATAGGCAAAATTAATTTTCATAATGTATATTTACTTATCCTAATATATCCAAAATATCACCATGTCAAGTAATAAAAAAATAAGAGATTATGACTTCCTGGTGTTTTTTGTACTATCTTTGAAATTCAATGTATAATTTAAAAGTAGAGCACATCGTGATCCCAAATTGCCAAATTTCAAGTAAATAGGCACGTATGACTAGTGGTTTCCATATTGGACAATGCAAATCTAAATGTTTTACAAATATTATTTTGTCGGAATGAAAAGATGCAAAAAATATGGACTACTTATGTTTTTATCAATATCTAACAGTTACAGTTACATTCATATAAAAAAGAAAAAAATTATATCCAATTTTATTATTTTAATTTTTTTAGGTTTGCCCTATAAAATACTTTCAGAGTATAACTTTTGGACATTCCCCATCTCACATCTTATCTCAAGTATGGTGAATTACTACTTCCACATTTGATGTTTAAGTTTCAATATTTATGAAGACCTCATTAAACATTTTTATTACATTATGCATAAGTGAATATATATTGATCTGGACTGAAGCTGACTAGTTGACAAAAATGCCATGTTTTATAGGCATTTAATTAAACATGCATTGATTTCGATTTTAGTTCTCTTGTTTTGGAAGCATTACGTATGTTTTCTGGCTTCTGACATTTTTGGCCCTTAGAAACATTATAGGCTGGAAGCACTGTGCCCCTGGTGCCAAATGCCTAAAACCACCCTGGTTCTAGAGGCGCATGTCACCATGCCTGCTTAAAAATTATAGGAATGCTTTTATTCCTCTAGCCCTCAGCGCCATTGTCACCTACAACAGGCTTTTGCTCACTTGGGTTTTACCTTCAGGATATTCTTGTTTGCTTTTTTTTTTTTTTTTTCCCATGGCATAATTTTCCCTCAGTTACTTATTTGACTGTTTATTTTCTGTTTGCGATTTTAGAGAGGCAAAGATTGTGTCTGTTTTCTTATCTACTACATAATTAAAGACAGTGCATTATGGACACTAAATGAATTTTAGATAAGTGAATTTAAAAATGCTTGTTAAAAGAACATCTCAAAGCTCATTTTACCTAAATGCAGAGTAAAAGTTGTCTATCTGGTAAGGATCCAGGTTTTCTCTGAGTTGCAACCCATCTATAAAGTAATTCTCACATTGTCAGTGTTTCTGCTATATCCAGGCTATAAAAGCTTTTTTTGAAAAAACTTAAATTTATAAAGACTTATAACATTGTAGCCATCACTTACATTTTAGTAAGATCATTCACTTTTACATTTAATAATTTAACTTGCTTTTTTCTAGATGGTCTGTATCTTTTAATTCTCTAACTTCAGGGACTTTTCACTTTTTAAAAATTGTGTTTTCTTTATTTTCTGTATTGCGGTTCTTAATTTTGGCATATTTTGCACCACCAGGGGATATGTGGCAATGACCGGAGATACTTTTTTCTAGTCACAAATCAGGTATGGACAGGAGTGCTATTGTCATCTATTAAGTAGAAGAAAAAGATCCTACTAGAAATCTTAAAATGCACAAAATAGCTTCCCAGCAATAATAAATTATCAAGTCTAAGATAATAATAATGCTGAAGTTACAAAATCCTACTCTAACTTATGATTAAAAGAGTGGCCTGTATTTTTCTCCTTAAAATGATTAGCCAATTTTTAAAAAACCTCATTTCTGTTTATAATGCAACTTTTGCTTCATTGTAACTAATATTTTCTCAAGCCTGTAAAAAACTCAGATAATTTATCCAAGTTAAAATGTTGAATAGCGGTATCCACTTACTAATATAATTCTTTTATAGTCTTTCTTCTCGGTTTCCTTAAATGTTGGCAGATACAATGAGACTTGTGATGAATGTCATGTAATTTTATTAATTTAATGTATCTTTGTTCATCTATCTCATAGGTCCCTTTAGATGGAATATAATACAGCAGAAGCCTTTTCATCAAAAGGATTAATGCCTGCATTATCATTTCTGCAATAAAATAAGAAGTTAAGCAGTAGAGGCCACAGACCCCTCAAACCTGGATTCCACAATTCTACGTTAAGTGTTGGAGTTTTTAATTACTCTGCTGTAGGAAAGCCTTTGCCAATGCTTACAAGGAACTGTTTATCCCTGCTTCTCTGGGTTCTGTTTGATGGAGGTCTCCTAACACCACTACAGCCACAGCCACAGCAGACTTTAGCCACGGAGCCAAGAGAAAATGTCATCCATCTGCCAGGACAACGGCCACATTTCCAACGAGTTAAACGTGGCTGGGTATGGAATCAATTTTTTGTGCTGGAAGAATACATGGGCTCCGAGCCTCAGTATGTGGGAAAGGTAATGGCGTGTTTCTTTTGACAACCACTTGATAGGAAGGGGGAATATGCATGGTGTATTTTGTATGGATTTTTTGCACAGGAGTTGAACAAACCAGTGGCTAGAACACTGGAATTGAAATCCAAGAGACCTGTTTTATCTTCCTGACTCAATGGCCCGGGTAAGCTTCAGAATATCATTTAAACCCTCTTTCCTTTCATTTCTGATCATTTTAATGAAAATAGTATATATTTTGTTCAATGTTTGCCATTCTCTGCTGAAGACATGAAGTTAAAATGTGAAAATGATATTAAGTATAATTATAACCATAGTTAGAAGTATAGTATAAGTATAGTTATATCATTTTATTGCTCATGGACAGATTGGAGTTGTTTAGCAACAAGAGACACAGAGAAGAATCACCAGGTCTAAATAATCTAAAGTCATCCAGGGGTTGTTTAATGACAAGAATGTGCTCCTTCTTCTTTCCCGTTAAAATATGATTCACCATTTGGATTGTGGTTCTGAAGTATTTGACTTGGCTTGCTTAAGCTTTATAATTTCTATATGTTCGGCAGATATTTATAAGTGTATTTATGGCTGAAGTAATAAATTTTGGAACCCAAATATGTACACATCAACAGAGCATACAATTTTAAAATCTTATTGCAACTTTACGGAAATTTAATTTTTTCACAAAATACTTGGTGGCAACTATGTTTCAGCTCAGTTATCTTTTACTGCTTATTTTTTCCATGAAATTTTTCATCCACGTCTAGAAGAGTATAACTTGTCCATCACAACAAAAAAATTTCCCCCAAAAAATAAGTATTATATTTTATTTTGATTTTGTGAATTATTTTCACATTTTTTAAACATGTTGTCATGGGCTTTAATTAAAAAATAGCTGGTTATGGAGAGTTTAAAATAAATCCAAAGCTACAGATGAAAAACTATAGTAGAAAGAATGTTTAGAAATGGATATAGAAGATCTTGAGCAGCAAATCACTTGAGTTTCTGCTAAAGAGATACATAATAGGTTGTATGATTTTTCATATTAGGTCAAAAGAAAACCATTTAGGATCTGAATTATTCTACCACATTTTTTAAAAAATTGCCTTGTGGAAAAGTATTTAAAGGATATTAAATGATACACTGGAAAAGCTTTCTAAATAGAATCTTTGTTGAAAGGGAACATACAACCAGAGTTTCCACTAAGGTGTACATGGCCCCAGGCAAATGATTTTTGCAGGGCACCTATGTATGTTTGAAAATTGAGTCACCCCAAATTAAATCAGTCCATAAGTACAATTCTGGTAGTCCAATCTCAAAGATCTTACAAATACACACACACACACACACACACACACACACACACACACACAGAAACACACACACAAACACACACAGCCATTAAGCAGGAACTATCTCCTTGACAGTCTGCCTATCAGGAGTCAGAGTGTATTCAAGTGGCACTCAGACAACACAATAATGCAACCCCTGAAAAGCCACAGGATACCTCTGAACCCGTAGGTTGAGTAGAATGTCAAAGAGAGCGCCAAATGATAATTGGACACTGAGACCCAAACAGTTCCAGCCCAGACCAGAATGCCCTTCTCAGATCACATTTCTGCCAACAAATAGCCCTAGGCACAGAAGTCTTAGAAAATTTTGAGGAAGTCAGTCGAAAATATAGAAGTCTCCTGAGGTTACTGCATAAAGTCTCTCCTTGTAGAATTCCTGAAATATGACTGTGGAATGTAACAATCACTAAAACATTTCTATGGTAAGATAATTTCATGTAGTTCTGCTACACTTGTGTTTTTTTATTTAATTTACTATAAGAATGGGATTTGAAATTTAAGACAAATGGAATGGTAACAGTCTAAAACTCTGGAACAAAGATATCAGTTTTCCCAATTCTGTTTATGATAGAAGCTAGACATCATATTGAGTTTCCTGAAAAATTCTCAGTTTTTAATTAGAGAAGATCCATAGACCTTAATTTCTAGAATTGGAGGTAATAAATTTGAAATTAGGTTAAAAAAAAATAAAATTGACTTTTATTCAAACCTAGATAGCTGTAGCATTTCACCTCCCCAAACAGTCTATGGGATTGTATATGCAAGTTTTTGTCTGACACTCTGAAATTCCACTTTTATAATTGCTATAACAGTGTAGAATTCACTCAGTTTATTTAAAAGATGAACTAGTAGTTATAAATGTAATTAAAAAGGAGTAAGTCTAATATCCAACCTATTATTACATTTAATCAGCATTATTTTCACTGGTACATGGCTCCACATTGGTAATGGGTAATGAACAACCATGGTTCTCAAGAAATGTACATTTCTAATGCAGATGACAGAATTTTTGCCAAGATTTTTTTCCTACCAGGAAACTAATTAAATTTTAATTAACTCTGTCTTGATGCTTCTAGATTTCAGAATAGAAATATGATAACATGGGGACCAATTTAATCTATTATATATGTGTGCATAAACATATAAATATATTTATACTTCCACTCATTCCAGAAGGACTTTGAGATTACTCATAGAAAAGCAAGATATTATAAATAATATAGAACTCAGAGTTAAGGAAAAGAACTAATGCCAAAATGCCAAGGAAAATTGTCAACTGGCTACAGTTCAACCTTGGATAACTCGGGGGTTAGCGGAACTGACTTCTCCCCAGCACAGTTGAAATTCCAAGTGCAACCTCGACTCCCCTAAAACTTAACTACTTATAGCATGCTGTTGGCCAGAAGTTTTACTGATAGCCTAGTCCATCAAAACATAATTATATGTTATAATACATACAACATAAACATATTATGTTTATATATGTATATATGTATTATATACTGGATTCGTACAATAAAGTCATCTAGAGAAAAGAAAATATTATTAAGAAAACCACAAGGAAGGGAAATACATTTACTATTCATTAACTGGAAGTGTATCATCATAAAGGTTTTCATCCTCATCATCTTTACATTGCATAGGCTGAGGAGGAGGAAGAAGAGAGGCAGGATGGTCTCACTGTCTCAGAGGTGACAAAGGTGGAAGAAAATCCATATAAAGTAAACCTGTGCAGTTCAAACTTACATTATTCAAAGATCAACTGTACTATCTTTAGCCTCAAATATGACTTTCTGGTTCTTTGTAGAAAGGGCATATATGGAAATCATTAATTTGTATAGTTCCCATTGTCAACTCCACATCTTTAGGGACCCAATGATTTTCTTTCTTTTTTTTTTAATATATATTTTACTGCATTTTAGGTTTTGGGGTACATGTGAAGAACATACAAGATTGTTGCATAGGTACATACATGGCAATGTGGTTTGCTGCCTTCCTCCCCATCACCTATATCTCACATTTCTCCCCATGCTATCTCTCCTCAATTCCCCACCCCTCACTGTCCCTCCCCTAGGTCCCCTCCACAGACCCCAGTGTGTGATGCTCCCCTCCCTGTGTCCATGTTTTCTCATTATTCAACACCCACCTATGAGTGAGAACATGTGGTGTTTGATTCTCTGTTCTTTTGTCTGTTTGCTGAGAATGATGGTTTCCAGGTTCATCCATGTCCCTACAAAGGACACAAACTCATCGTTTTTTGTGGCTGCATAGTATTCCATGGTGTATATTTGCCACATTTTCCCTGTCCAGTCTATTGTCGATGGGCATTTGGGTTGGTTCCAAGTCCTTGCTATTGTAAACAGTGCTACAATGAACATTCATGTGCATGTGTCCTTGTAAGAGAAAGATTTATAATCCTTTGGATATATACCCAGTAATGGGATTGCTGGGTCAAATGGAATTTCTATTTCTAGGTCCTTGAGGAATCGCCACACTGTATTCCACAATGGTTGAACTAATTTACACTCCCACCAGCAGTGTAAAAGTGTTCCTATTTCTCCACATCCTCTCCAGCATCTGTTGTCTCCAGATTTTTTAATGATCGCCATTCTAACTGGCGTGAGATGGTATCTCAATGTAGTTCTGATTTGCATTTCTCTGATGACCAGTGATGATGAGCATTTTTCATATGTTTGTTGGCCTCATATATGTCTTCTTTTGTAAAGTATCTGTCCATATCCTTTGTCCACTTTTGAATGGGCTTGTTTTTTCTTGTAAATCTGTTTTAGTTCTTTGTAAATTCTGGATATCAGCCCTCTGTCAGATGGGTAAACTGCAAAAATTTTTTCCCATTCTGTTGGTTGCCGATTCACTATAATGACTGTTTCTTTTGCAGGGCAGAAGCGGTGGAGTTTGATTAGGTCCCATATGTCTATTTTGGCCTTTGTTGTCAATGCTTTTGGTGTTTTGGTCATGAAGTCCTTGCCTTCGCCTGTGTCCTGAATGGTTTTGTCTATATTTTCTTCTAGGGTTTTTATGGTGTTAGGTCTTATGTTTAAGTCTTTAATCCATCCAGAGTTAATTTTAGTGTAAGGAAGGGGTCCAGTTTCTGCTTTCTGCACATGGCTAGCCAGTTTTCCTGACATCATTTATTAAACAGGGAATCCTTTGCTCATCGCTTGTTTTTGTCATGTTTGTCAAAGATTAGATGGTTGTAGATGTGTGGCATTGCCTCCAAGGCCTCTGTTCTGTTCCATTGGTGTATATCTCTATTTTGGTACCAGTACCATGCTGTTTTGATTACTATAGGCTTGTAGTATAGTTTGAAGTCAGGTAGTGTGATGCCTCCAGTTTTGTTCTTGTTGCTTAGAATTGAGTTGGCTATGCGGGCTCTCTTTTGGTTCCATATGAAGTTTAAGGTGATTTTTTCCAGTTCTGTGAAGAAGGTCATTGGTAGCTTGATGGGGATAGTGTTGAATCTATAAATTACTTTGGTCAGTATGGCCATTTTCATGATATTGATTCTTCCTAACCATGAGCATGGAATGTTTCTCCATATGTTTGTGTCCTCTCTTATTTCATTCAGCAGTGGTTTGTAGTTCTCCTTGAAGAGGTCCTTTGCATTCTTTGTCAGTTGTATTCCTAGGTATTTTATTC